TACGACGACACCGACAACGTCTCCAACGACTTCGACGACGACGACAACGACGACGACGACGACAACACCGACGACGACTACGACGACGACGACGACGCCGACGCTGACGACGCCGACGACGACGACGCCGACGAAGACGACGCCGCCGCCGCCGACGACGACGACGACGACGACGGCGACGAGGAAAACGACGACGACGACGACCTCGCCAACTAAGACGACGACGACGAGGGAGGTGGGAGGACGACCGCGGCGACGACGACAACGACGAGGGAGGAGGGAAGACGACGACGCCCACGACGACGGCGACGAAATAGGAGGGACAACGACGAAACGCCCACGAAGACGGCGAGGGAGGAAGGACGACCACGGCGACAACGACGACGGAAACGACGACGACGCCACGACGACGACGACGACGAGGAAAGACAGAGGACGACGACGGCGACGACGACGACGACAAGGGAAAAGGGAGGACGGCGGCGACGACGACGCAAGAACGCGCGCGCACGCTTTTGTTGAACATCCGTGTTGCGAAACCTTGTGTTTTTGTTTCTGTATCTTGGACACACGATTTTGAAACCCTTCCGAAACCGAAGGTTTTTGAAGGATTCCGGCATGCGCGCGCGACGACGCGCGCGTTTGCACTTCGTCCCATTTGTTGCAGAGGAGTCTCACAACAGCACGCGCGCAAGGGCGTTCGAAAGATTTCGACATGCGCGCGCGAAGCCCGTTTGGCAGTACGGTTTGGACATATGTTCTAAAAACCTATGGTTTTCGTCAGATGTCGCAAGAGCGCGCGCGGAAACTTGTATAAGGAAATCCGTGTTGCGAAGCCATGTGTTTTTGTATCTTTTTGGGAAACTTGATTTTGACATTTTTCCGAAACCGAGGGTTCGTGAAGGCATTCGGCACGCGCGCGCGACGACGCGCGCGTGCGCACTTCGTTTCATTTGTTTGTTGCAAGGGATTGTTGAAAAAATATGATTTTTGATAAAGGTGAATGCGCGCATCGTATTTCGTTGCACGGGATGGCGGGGGGGAGTGATACCGGCCTGGCTGGAATAGTACGAATTCATATGTCGGATGGACGAGTGTGTAGGATAAATGTGAAATCGCAATTCCCCCGGGGGGATCGTTAATACCGGAGGGGTGGAGGGGGGTAGAGTCTATACTTTTTTAAGGAAGGAGAATGCACCTTGACTGTCTTGAAACTGTCCTCTCCGCTGCTCGTGACAACATCCCACCCTCCCACCCGCAACTTGGTCGCAAGACCTCTCAAGACCGTGACGGTGGGTACCAAATGGCACTTGGCAACGACACCGACGACGACAGCGACAACGACGGCGACGACGACCCCGCCGACAACAACTACAACGACACCGACGACGTCTCCAACGTTTTCGGCGACGACGACAGCGACGACGACGACAACATCGACGACGACGACGACGACGCCGACGTTGACGACGACGACGACGACGATGACAACGCCGACGACGACGACGCCGCGGACGACGACGACGGCGACGACGCCGACGACGACGACGACGACGGCGACGACGAAGACGACGACGACGAAGTCGCCAACGAAAACGACGACGACGACGAGGGAGGAGGGAGGACGCCCGCGCGACGATGCGCGCGCGCGCACTTCGTTTCGTATTTTGCACGGGATTGTGAAACATTATTGATTTTTGATAAACGAGCGCGCGCGCATGGTAGTTTTGTGCAGGGGGTGGCTGGGGGGGCCGATACCGGTTAGGCTGGGATGGTACGAAGTCATATCCAGGATAGACGATAGGGCATAATCATATGTAACTTGCAATACGAAAAGGCGGGTCGATAATCCCGGGGGGGATCCTAATTCTTTTTTCGGAACTAGAGTTGATGTTAACAAGCAAGTTGGCACATCCCATGCTCTTGCAACCATCCCACCCACCCACCCGCAACTTGGTCTGCAACAGAGATCACGCGGTGACGAGTGCGATGCATGCGTGGTGTTGGCTGTCGCATCTCTGTGGCCGCGCCAACCCTAGCTCGCGCGCGCAGCGGCCAGCTAGTTTGGCGCCGCCGACGAGGCCGCAGTGGCGTTGACCGCTGGGCGCGTCCCAGCGGGCACTTCGCCGCGAGTCGGCGACTTGGGCGGGGGCGGCATCATGGCAACGCCGACATCGGTGGACGCGATGATGATAGTGGCGATGTCGGTGACGATGTTCGCACCGACGAAGGCGAGCGCGGGCGCCGATGCCGATCGCGCCGGCGACGGTGACGGCGCCCTCGCGTCGGCGATGATGGTTTTGAGAAGAGTTCGGCATGCGCGCGCGGCCGACGCGCGAGAGAAGCCCGCGCGGTCTCATTTGACGCGCATCGCGCCCCCCCAGCGCGCGCGCAAGGGCGCGCGAATGAGGTCGGCATGCGGCGCCACATGCCCTTGTGGCATAATTCCATGAAAATGCTGAAAAGCCATAGGTTTGTTGAAGCATTCGCAAGAGCGCGCGCGAAAACTTTGTTGAAATCTGACGTTGCGAAACCATGCGTTTTTGAACGTGGCGTGGACATGCGGCTTTGAAATCGCGACGGAACCGACGGTTTTTGATGTATTTCGGCATGCGCGCGCGGCGACGCGCGCGCGCGTGCACATCGGCCAATGCGTTGCAAAGGGTTCTCGCGACGGCACGCGCGCAGGGGCGTTCGAAAGATTTCGACGCGCTCGCGAAGCCCGTTTGGTAGCGCTCCCGGGAAGCATCGGGAAACTTGTGGTTTTCTTAACAATGAGCAAGCGCGCGCGTTTATTATCATCATCGTGTGTGTATGTATATATATATATATATATATATATATCCGCGTTGTGAGACCATGCGTGTTTGATTTGTCGGTTGGCCATTCGGTTTCGAAATCCTTCCGAAATATTTAAGATTTCGGCACGCGCGCGCGCGACGACGCGCGCGCGTGTACTTCGTTTCATTGGTTGCCAGGGTTCGTGGAAAAGTGAAGATGTGGATCAGCGTGTGCGCGCGCATAGTTGTTATGGTAGAGAATGACGGGGGGGGGCGATGCCGGTTGGGCTAGACTGGCACGAGTTCATATTTAGGACGGACGATGGGCCATAATCTCACGTAAATTGCAATACGAGGGAGGGAGCCGATAATCCCCGGGGGGGAGTAGGCTCTGTTTCTTTAATCCTCCCGAGTGGAGATTTTATTTCTGTTCGCGTTGGGTTGTCAGCTCCACTGCTCGCGCAATCGCCCCACCCACCCACCCGCAACTTGGTTTGCGAAACCCACGCAATGGCGATTGCGATTGGTGCTTGGCGTTGGCTGATGCATCTCTGCGGCCGCGCGAGGCCGCGCACGTTCGCGCGCGCAGTGGCCAGCTAGTTTGGCGCGACCGACGCGGCCGCGGTGGCGCTGACCGCCGGGCACGTCCCACCGTGGGGGCACTTCACTGCGACACGGCGACTTGGGCGGGCGCGGCATCATGGCAACGTCGACAAGAGCAGTCGCGATGATGATAGTAGCGATGCTGGTGGCGATGCTTACAGCGACGACCGCGCGGCCAGTGGCGGTGCCGATGTTCGCGCCGAGGAAGGCAAGCGCGGGCGCCGATGTTCGCGCCAGTTGGTGACGATGTTCGCACCGAGGAAGGCGAGCGCGGGCGCCGATGGTGATCAGGCCGACGACGATGCCGGCGTCCTCGCGTTCGCGATGCAAGTTTTGGAAGGAGTTCGGCGCGCGCGCGCGGCCGACGCGCGAGAGTGGCCCGAATGGTTTTATGCGACGCGCATCGTGCCCCCCTCCCCCGCCCAGCGCGCGCGCAAGGGCGTTCGCGTGATTTCGACATGCGGCGCGAGTGGCTCGTTTGGCAGAGCCCAATGAACAGGTTAAACACCTTATGGTGTTCTTGAGGGCTCGCAAGAGCGCGAGCGCCGTTTTTTGGAACACTGTAATTGCGAAGCCATGTGTTCGATGTTGTGGGCTTTCGATTTCTACACCCCTGCGAAGCCGCAGGTTTGTGACGGATTCTGGCATGCGTGCGCGACGACGCGCGCGCACCTGATCTCATTTTTTTGCAAGATGGTTCTCGCGAGAGCACGCGCGCAATGGCGTTCGAACGATGTCGGCACGCGCGTGCGACGCCCGCTTGGTAGCTTGTTTTCTTCAGAATTTTCAAGAGCGCGCGCGCAATTTTTGTTTCGGAAATCCTCGTTGCGAAACTACGTGTATTTGCATACGTTTGTTTGGACACCCATTTTTGAGATCCTTGCGGAATGCGCGCGCGTACTTCGTTATTTTTTTTTGCAAGGGGCGCAGCAAACAATACAAACGTTGGTCGTTTGATAAAACGGTGCGCAAACAAAGTATTTGTTGCAAGGGATGGCGGGGGGTGTCGATGCGGGTTCCGTTGGGATGGTACGAATTTATGTTTGGGATGGGCGATGCGGCAGAATCATAGGCAAATTACAATACGGAAAGGGGCACCCAGAATTCCGAGGGGGGGGGGGTGAATTTGTTCACTTTTCTATAGGAGGAGAGAATCTATGCCACGGCGGCGGCGGCGACGGGCGGCCCCGCCCGCAAAAGCTGCCACTCGACCCGAGCGGCGGCGACGGCGGCGGCGGCGGCGACGGGCGGCCCCGCCCGCAAAAGCTGCCACTCGCCCCGAGCGGCGGCGACGGCGACGGCGGCAACGGGCGGCAAAAGCCGCAAAAGCCGCCAGATCCCGGCGGCAAACACCCTAGGTGCAAGCACTGATTGGGGAATTTGTTCGGTGCGGACGTGCCTGTCCAATGGGGGCGTACAGCATTTAGCATGTCATTATGCGTGAGGCAAGTCTGTCGGCAAGGTTGGCCCATCCCTTCGTGCGCGAGCACGATCCAGCCCGAAGCTTTTGGGGCCAGGACCTAGCTTGACGGGGGCAACGGTTCCACCCGAATTGCAGGCTGAGCGCCCGAGGAAGAACAGTCGGTTCGAGGAGCGGGGGGGGAGGCCTGACGGCAGGAGATCCAGCTCGAGCACCCTCGGGCAATCTCGCTCGCGGACGCCGTGGAGGCACGACCAGCGCTTTCCTCCCTCGCCCTCCTCCTGTTCTCCGCTCTTCTTCCCCCGCCTCCTTCCTCTTCTTCCCGCCCCATTGTTCCTTTTCCCTCCCTTCCTGCTCCTCTTGCTTATCCTGATCATCCTCCTCCCCATCCTCTCTTCCATCACTTCCTCATCCTACTTTTCCTTCCTCTTTCATTCCCTCCACCTCTGGGCGTCTTCTGATGATTCCGGGTCCCAGGCGGAGTACCAAACAAAGCAACAGTATCTTCTTCTTCTTCCTCATCCTCCTCCTCCTCCTCCTCCTCCCTTCAGTCCATCATCCTCGTCCAACTCGTCGTCGTCCTCTTCCTCCTCTCTCTCAACCCCTTTCTTTCCAGCGCCCTTGTGACTTCAAGGGCTGTAGAGTGATACTCCTTCAAGTCCACATAAAGTTTGTAACAGCTGCACACATGTAGAGCGGTTATGTTTCAAAACTGGGCCCGCAATGTTGGTTTCTGTGTATTTTACGATATTCTAGAACGACGTTTCTCAGCGGGGGTATCGCTTGAGTGGTACGTCCTCCTCAGCGTTCTCCTTCCTCCGTGCCCTTCCTTATCTCGTTTCTGTCCTGTTATCATTTCCCTACCTCCTCCCGCCGCCCCCCCGCATGATCCTTCCCCATCGGCATGTTTCCTCCATCATCCTCATCCTCCGTCTCTTCGCGTCCTCGTCATCAGCTTTCCTGTTATCATTTCCCTCCCTCCCGCCGCCCCCTCTCATTATCCTTCCTCATCGGCATGTTTCCTCCATCATCCTCATCCTCCGTCTCTTCGCGTCCTCGTCATCAGATCCCCCCCCTGTCGCCCGCCTCCCCATCCCGAGCATTTTCTTGGGTGGAGGGCAAGGGGTGAAATGAAAAATGCCGTTCGATCTTCTAGGCTTGAATCTGCAAAAGGTGAATCACAAGACAGATGGATTCACAAGGCAGATGGGTTTTCGAGGTGCAAAAGCCCATACGGATTTCACCCTGAGCCCTCCACCCTAAGGAGATGCTCAGCCATCCTCCGCCTGGTCCACTTCTCTCGGACGACCTGCCCGCGAGAGCAGCCGTGCCCACGAGGCCTCTCTGGCCGAACACCACCAGACGCATGAGGCGTGTTCTCTGCGGTCCGGGCGGAACCTGGGCGGGCCAGGCGGTCGCCAGTGGGCGGCGAGTGAGGGGGGGAAGTGAGAAGGAGAAGGCCTTCTCAGCAGGCGGCGGGATTTCTCAGGAGTCCTCGCGCCTTCTCAGACGTTTCGTCTTCGGGGAAGGCCCAGAAAACTTCTCAGAAGGCCAGGGGACTTCCGAACCTTCTGAGAAGGCCTTCTCCTTCTCAAGTCCCCCCCTTGCTCGCCGCCGAGCCAGCCGTCCGCAATTTGCCAAATTGATGATCGGGCGCTGATGTTCCTTCAGCATGCATCAGGAGCATACCACGCAGGGAAAGCAGCCGAGCTGCAAAGGGCATGCTGCGCTCACCGTGCACATCGGGTGACTCGACGAGGGAAGCTTCGCACGGGGGGAGCACAATCTAGAAAGCAGCGGCCGCAGATAGCCTTCGGCGGCTCGCGCAGAGCGAAGTTCGGCGTCCGGCTGCTGCTCTACTCGGAGAAGTGGGCCTGCACCTGCGCATACGTGCGCCTAATGGCGAAGACGCTGGGCAGCGCGTGCCGCCCCCACGCCCCGCTGCCCCCCGCCTCCCCCCCCCCGCCTCCGCTTCCCCCCGAACCCTCTTCCCGCCGCCCTCCCCCCGCCACCGACCCTCCCCAGGGCCGTCGCGCCCCCGCTGAGCCCTCTCCCCACTGGCCCCCCCCCCCTTCCCCCGGGGCCTCCCCGGGGTCGCCGCGCCCCGTGAACGAACCCTCGCCACGCCGATCCCCCCCCCCCTCCCGGCGCTCCCTCCCCCGGGCCCCTCCCATGGCAGCCTCCGTGCCCCCCCCCCCTACAGCCCTTCCGCCCCTCCCCCCCGAGGAGGGGAGGAGGAAGGAGGAGGGGGAGGAGGAGGGAGGAGGGGGAGGAGGAGGAGGAGGAGGAGGAGGAGGAGGGAGGAGGAGGAGGAGGAGGAGGAGGAGGCGGAGGCGGAGGCGGAGGCGGAGGAGGAGGAGGAGGAGGAGGAGGAGGAGGAGGAGGAGGAGGAGGAGGAGGAGGAGGAGGAGGAGGAGGAGGAGGAGGAGGAGGAGGAGGAGGAGGAGGAGGGGGGGAGGGAGGCAGGGAGGGAGGGAGGGGAATGGGCGACCATGAGGGGATACCATGTTGGGGGCTTGAACGGCACTTCTCCCTACGTTTCTTCCTCCTCCTCCTCCTCCTCCTCCCTCCTCCTCCTCCTCCTCCTCCTCCTCCTGCGCGCGCCTTGTAGCTCCCGATATTGTAAAAGTCAGCGAACGATCACATACCAGACATGGGGGGGAGAGCACGGTCGACCCCGCCTTCTCGTCCTCCTCCTCCTCCTTCTCCTCCTCCTCCTCCTTTCCCTCTCCCAACCCCCTCGCCCTCTTCAATATGGGGGCCCAGGGCCCAGTGATTTTCAACAGTTTTATTTTTTGGCTTCAAACTTTTAAAACTTTTGAAAAGTTGTTCCCAACCAACCTGTGTTGTTGGGTCCTCGTTTTGAAGAGACAGCGCGCCGCGTTCTCCTTCCTTCCTCCTCCTCCCCCTCCTCCCTCACTTCGTGGCCCCATAGGGAGCTCCACCGAAGGTCCCAGTGGGACCGCCCGCATGCGTCATCCACCACCCAGCACAGCATTTCGTGGTCCCATAGAGAGCTCCACCGGAGGCTCCAGTGGGACCGCCCGCATGCGTCATCCACCACCCAATACAGCGCTTCGTGGCCCCAAAGGGGGCTCCACCGAAGGCCCCGGTGGGACCGCCCGCATGCGTCATCCACCACCCAGCTCAGCGTTCCGTGGCCCCATAAGACGGCTCCACCGAAGGCCCAAGTGGGACAGCCCGCATGCGTCACCCACAACCCAGTACAGCGCTTCGTGGCCCCATAGAGGGCTCCACCGAAGGCCCCAGTGGGACCGCCCGCGTGCGTCATCCACAACCCAGTACAGCGTCTCGTGACCCCATAGGGAGCTCCACCGAAAGCTCCAGTGGGACCGCCCGCGTGCGTCATCCACAACCCAGTACAGCGTTTCGTGGCCCCATATGGGAGCTCCACCGAAGGCCCCAGTGGGACCGCTCGCGTGCGTCATCCACCACTCAGCATAAAATTCTTTACGCTTCGCGTATCCCCACCAGCCCATCTCACAGCAGCAACTCTTGCGAAGCATGCCGACAGTCGTGTTTTTCAGGCGTGTGTCCGCTTGGCCCCGCATATCTCCCCTGTTCCTCCTTCCTCCCGCCTCCTTGTACATCCTCCTTGTGGGGGGAGCGGGAGAAGGACGAGGCGGAGGAGGAGGGAGAGAAAGCGCTCCTCGTGATTTGAGTCGTTTGGGGTTTCTCGTCCTGGTGTGAGTCGTTCGGGCCCTTCTTCCTGGTGTGAGTCGTTCGGGCTCTTCGTGGTGTGAGTCGTTCGGGCTCTTCGTCCTGGTGTGAGTCGTTCGGGCTTCTCGTGGTGTGAGTTGTTCGGGCCCCTCGTCCTGGTGTGAGTCGTTCGGGCCCCTCCTCCTGGTGTGACTCGTTCGGGCTCCTCGTGGTGTGAGTCGTTCGGGGCCCGCGTCGTGGTGTGAGTCGTTCGGGCTCCTCGTGGTGTGAGTCGTTCGGGCGCCTCGTCCTGGTGTGAGTCGTTCGGGCCCCTCCTTGTGGTGTGAGTCGTTCGGGCTCTTCGTGGTGTGAGTCGTTCGGGCCCCTCGTCCTGGTGTGAGTCGTTCGGGCTCCTCGTGGGGCCTCTTGGGGGCCTCTTGGAGCCTCTTGGGGCCTCTTGGGGGCCTCTTGGGGGCCTCTTGGGGGCCTCTTGGGGGCCTCTTGGGGCCTCTTGGGGCCTCTTGGGTGCCTCTTGGGGGCCTCTTGGGGGCCTCTTGGGGCCGCTTGGGGGCCTCTGGGGGGTCTCTTGGAGGCCTCTTGGGAGCCTCCTGGGGGCCTCTTAGGGCCATCTTGGGGCCTCTTGCGACCTCCTCAGAAGCGCAAAGAAGAGCTGCCCCCTGAGAAGGACAAAATGAGGCCAACACCTTCGTAAAATCAATGGTTTTGCGATGAAGGACGATGAGCGCGGCCCCCTCAGGAGGCCAAAATGGGGCCAAAACCTTCGTAAAATCAATGTTTTTGGCTTCAAAGAAGAGCAGAGGGGCCAAACTCGGTCCCCCCGTCGGGGCCAGAATCCTAGTGAGGGTAGTCGTTTTTTAGCCCTCCCAGGAGTCGAAATTGACCCCCCTGGCACCGCTCGGGGGTCCCTCTCCAGGCCCAGGGGGAGGGGGTAGGGGGAGGGGTAAACCCCTCCCCGAAGGGAAAGAAGGGGGGTTGAGAACAGAGCGGGCTCTCTAAACCACTCACGCTCAAAGGGCTGGTGGGATTTCGTCGCTCCATCGACAGCTTCACCGAAGGCTCCAGTGGCACCGCCCGCATGCGTCACCCACCACCACGTACAGCGCTTCGTGGCCCCATAGAGGGCTCCACCGAAGGCCCCAGTGGGACCGCCCGCATGCGGCATCCACCACCCAGTACAGCGCTTCGTGGCCCCATACGGGTGCTCCACCGAAGGCCCCAGTGGGACCGCCCGCATGCGTCATCCACCACCCAGTAGAGTGTTTCGTGGCCCTCAGGGAGCTCCACCGAAGGTTCGTGGCGGAACTCGCATGGCGTCCCAGTGGCGGAGTTCGCATGGCGGCGACTTTCGATTTTCTGATGTTTTTCGTCGTGTTCGACGTGTTGAGGCCGCTTTCGGGCCGCGCATCCCGTGCGGGAGCCAGCCTGCTCGCCCTCTCTGCTCCGCGCAGCGGACGACCCGTGCGCGTCGCCGGGGCCCCTGCGGGGCGACCAGCGCGCGTCGCGGGGACTCCGTGCGGCGCCGCCCGCAGCCTTGGACGCGGGCGTGCACGGGCAACGAGGCAGAATAAGAACGGGAAGGAAGCGGGCGCGATCTTCGTGAGAGGCGTGCCGACATGGGCGTCGACATTTATGTTCGTAGACTCACGCGCGCGCAGACTCATCCACAATCAGACCCACTCGCTCTCAGTCTCTCGCACACAAACCTATCGTTTTCGCTCGAGTTGTCCGCCCCGCCACGTACGTCGGCACGCCCTTCGCACGGTTCCTGGCCCCATAGGGAGCGCGGGCGAAGATGATATTCATAATTGCGGTATTCGCAATTGCACATGGTTGGGCCCTTCATGTCGGGGGATCCTGCGGACATGGGAATCCAGGGCCCCAGTATTTCAAAATTAAACAACTTTGAAACGGTTGCAAGTTTTAGGGTGCGTTCAATTGTTTTGAATCTTTAAGGCTGTACAAGTTTTTTGTTTCAAAAAAAAACTGTGGGGCCCCCTGGGTTCCTGCACGTCGGGGGATCCCGCGGATCTGGGAATCCAGGCCCCAGGAATTCTGAAACGAACTTTCAAATCAGTCGAAAGGTTTGGGGTGTTAAAAAACTTGTTGGTCTTTAGAGTTTAATTGCTTTGAAGTTTTGGAACCCCTGGGATCCTGCATGTTAGGGGGATCCTGCGGATCTGGAAATCCAGGGCCCAGGGATTCGCACAAGTTCCAAACCTTTTAAAGTTATCAAACGTTTTAGGACGCTTACAATTCTTAAAACGTTCAGAGGGTTCAACAGTCGTAAAAGTTGGGGAAACTTTTGAAGCCCCTAGTTTCCTGATTTTTTTGGGAAACCTGAAAACTTCTTGAGCCTCCTGGAACGTCCTGGGTTCTCCTGGGGCCTCCTGGGAGCCCCTGGGGCTTCCTGGATCCTTCTCATGCCTGCTGAGCTGTACTGGGGCCTCCTGAGACCTCTTGGGGCCCTTGGGAGAGATGGGAGGAGGAGGAGGAGGAGGAGGAGGAGGAGGAGGAGGAGGAGGAGGAGGAGGAGGAGGGGAAGAGGAGGAGGAGGAGGAGGAGGAGGAGGAGGATCAGGCGGAGGAGGAGGAGGAGGAGGAGGACCGCCCTCGCCGCCGCCGCCGATGCCGCCGTCGCCGCCTTTCCCGGTCGTGGCCACGGGGAGGGCCCAGTCACCCCCTGCGGACCCGCCCCATGAGGAGGGCCCAATCGTCCCATGAGGAAGGCCAGAGAGCCTCGAACCCCGAATCTCTAGGTCAGAGGTTCGATCGACCCTTGACGTGAATCGAGATATTGCGGAGGCCTTACGGCCGGTGCCGCCTACCCTGAAGGGGAACGACGACGGCGGCGACGACGACGGAAGCGGGCCTCTTTGGAGCCCCATGGAGCTTCCTGGGAGCTTTTTGGGGGCCTCTTGTGGCATCTTGTGGCCTCCTGACGAGGATGACGACGATGCTGCTGCTGCTGATGATGATGGTGGTGGTGATGATGATAATGATGGTGATGATGATGATGCTGATGATGCTGATGATGCTGATGATGCTGATGATGATGATGATGATGATGATGATGATGATGATGATGATGGTTATGATGAGAAGGAGGAGGAGGAGGAGGAGGAGGAGGAGGAGGAGGAGGATGATGATGATGATGATGATGCTGATGATGATGAGGGGAGGATAATGATGAGGGGGGTGAGGAGGATGCGGTTGATGGGGAGGAGGAGGAGGAGGAGGAGGAG